ATCGCCGGCCCTAGTGGGGGCATCCGTATAGACTTTCCAGACGAATCGACTACTCTCTACTGTTTTGGTTAAAGGAGCATCCGAGGCGACTTGGATCTGGTTTCCTCACCTGCCTAGCTTCGCCAAGCCACCAGCACTCGATGATCGCCTCACCCTGCTCAGCAGTCCAGAATTCTTTCAACTGCATATTTTCCCATATACAACAAGCACCCGCGTTTGAGCCATTCGACGAGGGAAAGTATGCAAAAACAAGGTCTCCAGAGGAGTCGACTGATAGTACTTTGGCAGCAGAGAATGCATCGTTCTCGAATATACGGCGATGTGACGGTAGTTGCTTGCTTTCGCTAGTATTCGGAGGGTTTGGGTAATGGAGAATGAGTGGCTTTGTTGGATGGGCCATGATTATCCCCTTGGGCGTCCAATGAGCCTTTCTGAAACATCTTAGTTTATCTGCCACGTGATCGATATAGACATCACATACGCCCTACGTCGCGGCTCTTCGACTAGTGGCAATAAGTCCCACCAGTTGAATGGAGCCGAAGTTGGAATGCTCGTCGTAGGTTTTACGTCTTCCATCCGTGGAAAGAGAGATTTGATTTTGCCTGAGCAAAATATTTATGGGTTATTTTGCCTTTGGCGGTAGATGTCGCGTGCTCCACGAAGGGAAGAGCGGAGTTTCAACGTCTGTGTACCATCACCAAACAGTAATACCAAAATTTACGGTCTCGATCCACCTCACCATCGTCTCGCTCGTTGATGGACGATGTCTCATGGGGTTGAAGACTGCGTGCTACCGTCCTCGGCTTCGCTTCTAGCATCTTCCCCGTTTACCGTCTTCACCTCTTCTTTCCTCGCGCTTAAGCACAGTTATCTCGAAGCTCAAGAACCGAAAAAACTTATTCGACTAAGTTGGCGGCTTCGTAGATGAAAATTTCATCCTCATAAGCACCAATGGCACCAATATCACTGCCGTTATCGGATCCTATCAGAAGTAGAACATGAGGTTTCAGCACCTGTCCCCTCTTCAAGCGTTTCAGTGGAGCATATGGGTCCCCAGAGGTTGCACTTTGAACCGTTAATCGGACTGTCGTAGGGTTTGAACGCTTGTCAAACAGATCAAACACTCTATTCGACATAATCAGGCGACCCAAGTGATCTGATGGAATTGTGGGTGCACTTGTCACACTGTACGCACGTGTACTCCTCAGATGGTCAACCCCCTCGGCTGAGAGTGGAGACTGGAAAACGCTGGGCGATTGGGGTCCTAATCAATACTCGATCCTAATTGATCACTTGAATGCGCGCTTGATCAGGGGGACGATGTATGGCTCTTTTTCCTTCACTTGCTCTCGCTGGTCCTAGCCCAGGTCCAGGTGCACATTGATTTACTGCCTCATTTACTTACAAATCGCTTCCAGTGACCAATCATTCTTCAATAGACCGATAACTCAGCCTATCCTCTAACGTAACAAAACCCACTCTAGCGCTGAAGATTTAGTGGCTGTTCTTAATACAACTACGGGGCGATATTCAAAGGTTGCAAATCGTTCATTTAGTGGCAGTTACAAGAACCTACAATAACTATGGTCATCTGGTTTGCCCGCGTCGGACCTAGCGGACGATTGGTAAAGGGCATGCGCTCAATGGGTGGCGTCCGGATCCCCGTCAATGATTCCTTTCGAGGCCGTAGCAGGAAACATCTCCTTGGATCACAGCTTCTGAGACGTTACTTATCTTTCGTTTCTATTTGTCGCAACATGGGACGTCATCGGCCGAGCTCCGCATGTGACTCGAGGCCAAAGGTATAAAGGGGGAGCCAGCAACTTTTTCTCTACCCTCCTTAAAGTAGTGGTCACATTCACATTCCCCCCCTCCAAAATCTGTTTCATCAGACAATGTCTTCCCCACAACAGTTTTACATGGTACAGCGAACCAAGAAATTGCGATTTCCAGTACGTTCCCGGGTTTGCCTCCCCTTCTTGAGGATACACCGTTCAGACTCCACCAGAGAAATACCACCGTCACATATTATTGTGTCGAGATTGAACAAAACCTAATAGGGCGTATTACAGAACTGAACCACGTACGTAGGCCCCATCTACTCTTGGACTGTCGCTGACCCCTCCCCCCAGACGGACGTCACCTACACCATCAGGAGGGAGACCGGTGTGCTGGATACGGTAGAAGATCGGCATGTTGTACGATCGGAACCAACGTATTAGGGAATATCGACAAGGCGACCCTGTTACAATGGTACTCCTCTTCTGTATCGATACTCCACTCTCCTATTCAGATCAAAAAGAGTGTTCACGACTCCATGATACCAAAAGTCTAGCTGAACATCATGTCAATTGCCCACTTATCCCTTTGCTATAGATTATGCAATATGTAACCTTATTGTACTCAGATTGTGTGTAAACAGGCAAGCGCGTTAACTGTTCGCCATACCACGTGCCCAGCACGGGGTATTCATTCACAACCCAACACAATTGACTGCGTCAGCTCTGTCGTCTAACCAGATCTAATCTTGGAAACTCTGACCATGACGCCAAAGGATACGTTTTGTTATTCGATTATATTGCCATCATCGATGTTTAACGACATAACTTCCTATACACGAATCCTAGATAATGGGATCAACTAATTAAGGATATCTACTGGGTTGCACTAGAGGGGGATACCGCGTGTTAGCGGATGAATCGATCAAGTTTTACACTAGACAGACAAGTAATCACACAAGTCCGGGGAGTTGTCCGAAACGATGCTCTGATGAGGTCAAGAAAATGGCGTGAAAGAAATACGAATGCGATGCATAAGAGAGGAGCCTAGCTCGGGGAAAAAGAAAAAGGGAAATCAAGATTCAGTCCATGATAGCAGGGGAAAACTCGGTCCATTATTGAGTGTAGGAAGGTGGTGGTTCGTCCGGTTCTGGTGTCTTTACGCGACTAGGAGAAATCTGTAGAATGGTTTCGTTTCCTGGAGGATCAGAAGAGCTCGGTACGTGAGTCGAAAGATTTTCCCAAGATTGAGTGATGGTAGAATGGGTGGTGACCGGGTGTGGTGTGATGGGAGACGCGACGCTGCCGTGGTTTGCGACTCGCATTCTTGCAGCTTGAATCTCTGCCGCTTTGCCTTGTCTTCTCGCTTGTACGGGGTCGTTCAAAGCAGCGACAGAACTAGCGGTCGGGGTAGAGTATCCACCTCCAAACGCGGCATATGGGTCGAATCCTGTTGCACTGGTACCAGACATGGACATGGTGTTTGTGGTCGGGCTGAAACTGGTGCCAGCTCCACGGGGGCTGTGTAACAACGCTTGGCTTTCGGGAGCAGGATTTGGGTGAGAAGAATACGTTGGGTGGGAAGAGTACGAAGGATGAGAAGTAGGTACGCCAGCGGATTGGCCAAAAGGTATAACGTGCGGTCCGTTCTTGGGCTCATCGTAGTCGATAGGACTTATGTTCTGCTTGCTCTTCTTTGTATTTTTTCGTCTTCTCCAGAGGAAAAACGCCAGTAAGAGAAGCAATAACAAGCCCACACCACCTCCAACAGCACCTCCAATGATGGCCGCATTGTTCTTGGATGCCCCTCCACCGACGACAAGATTTGAGCCGCCGTTCGGTGGTCCGCTACCGGTTGAAGTGTAAATCTCGATGGAATCCAGATCGAGATATGTCCCGTTGGTCGGATTGTTTTCGAGGTAGAGAGTATAGGTTTGCGATGGATCGAGACCAGTCGCGAAAAAGTAGGTTAGGGGTACGGCCAAAAAGGTATTGTAACCAGTGCTCTTGATCGCAGTGGCACTATTATATCCTTGTGTGCCTTTGACTAGCTGAGCGGAATAAGGTCCATGAGAGGGATCAGAGCTTGCCCAGACCACGACGGCCGATCCTTGAAATGTGACATTCCATACAGCGCCATTCACACTTGTGTAATGCTATAGGCTTGATTAGACTCGTCATAATAGGGTGGTCGATCAAACCACGTACCTGGCTATCATCATAAAACGCAGCCTCTAGTCCCCGGGTTATCGACCAATCATTTCCAGAATATTTAATATCCTGAGAGAAGGGTGAGATTTAAGCAGATATAATTTGCATCGACTAACCGAACTCAAATCATCCAATGTGCGATTCGACACACTCCCCCCTGGGGCACCCACCCATCCCTCCACAACAGCAGTAGCTATCTTGATCATCGAACCATTCCCACACTGGCCCTTGAGTTCCAGTTCCCAGTTGGCGTTATCGAGCCCCGTAAAGCTCGCGAGCATGCCATTTTCAGGGGGTGCTGTCTGTGGAGTGGGTGCAGAAGAGGCACTGGCAGTGTTTCCTTCACCTGGCAAGAGTGTCGCAGTGTATGTGCAATAAACCCCCTGTATGGACCCCGAGAAGCTAAGTCCAGAACCTACATCATAAGAACACACGCCAAGCGTAAAACGTAAACAGATCAGCCTCCGTCACAAGTCCACAATATACACCTCAAACGACCCATATAAGAATATCGTACATACCAAAAGCTTTGATTTTGACGCTACCAGAGCCATGCAGCACCCGCGTAGGGTTTCCCGAGTTTGAATTCCCGTTCTGGAGCCCACCCTGGTCCGACTTCCAGACCGAATTCGTCACATCCTGTTGAGGATCATACTCCAATACAGGCGACAGCGCCGATATCTCAAACTTTCTCGTCGACATGCTGGTGGGTAGCGGCGATGTATTTAAGTTATAGGGTATGCGGTGGGTCGGGCTAAATAGCAAACGCCCCGAGGAGCCGCTTGTGCTTTGCTTTTTTTGCCTGCCTGGACAGAGAGAGAGAGGCAGAAAACGGGCCCACCAAGCGCCTCTGGATTTTTATCTGCGTTGACTCGAAGGCGTGGGCGAAGAGGGGTTCAAGATAGAAGTTGAGTGGGCAAAGAGGCAATGGTCAGGGTATAGAAAGATCGCCCACCGCCTCAATCCAACGCTCCAGAGCACAGAATTTTCCCGACTCTTCGCGTCCCATCTTTCAATTACAGACGGCCTCAAAAGCGGTTTTAGAAGTATTATAGACGCCTTTTCAGTCTAGTGTGCAATATTTACAAGGGGCCTAACGGTTATACGTAGACTCCACGGGTGAGATTCGGAATTTGGAGGGCCAACTTTGAACTCAGTCTTAAGGAACATATGGGCAGTGTCAAAGAAAGCTTGTTTGACTCGGAACCTCCCGGATCCGTGCAGGTAGATACTAATAATAGTCTGGTATGCACACTGCGCTACCTATTCGACACACCTGCGAGGTAAAAAAAAAAAGAATGAAAAAAGACGAAGAAAACGAAATAAAAGGAATTCGAATGGGTAGAACAATAGTCCATCAAAAGCAGACGCGGGGGACGGGGCAAGCAAGCTCTAGTGACTGACATGAACGGCATGATAGGGAGCTTTTTTTCATCAAGAATTGGTCATCCCAGACAGACCATTCGATTAGTAGCCGTAGCTTGGCGTCGCCTGATAAGCGTTCTCCTGCTGTTGTTCTTGCTGTTGATAGTTGTTGTTGTTGTTGTTGTAATTGTTGCTCTCCTGGGTCGCTGTGGGGTACGCGGCAGTCGTCTGGAAGTAGCGACCTTGGCAGCTGCCCAAACAACTCGAGAGAGCAGTCTCTGCGAGGACGCGGCTCTCCACCGTGGTTTCTGTTGCGGTTTCAGTGGCGGTGACTTCCCGGGTTTGAGTCGAGACCACGGTGCTGGTGAGTGTCTCCTCCACGGTAGAATTCTCCTCATTGACCTTGGTCGTCGTCCAGACACGCACGTAGGTGGTAGGAACGAGTTGGGTCTCCAGTGCAGTTGCGGTTTTGGTGACAGTGTCCACACTCGAGACGGTGGTCAAGTGAGTGGCGGTGTCGGTGACGGTACGGCTCCTGGTCTCAACTACAGTCTCTAGTCGGTCGTTGGTGACGGTGGTCTGCCAGACGCTGACGTAGGTGGTGGGCTGAAGGACGGTAGAGACCTCTTGTTTGGTGATGACGTTCGTGACCTGGACAGTATCCGTCTCTGTCGCAGTTGCAGTTTCCAGTTGTGTCATGGTGGCAACAGAGGTGACAACATCAGTAGCGGTGAGTGTGTGCTCGATGAGTTTGGTGCGGTCTTGGGTTTCGGTAGAAGTCCAGACACGGGTCTTGGTCACGAGATCGGTCGCGGTGACAAGCTTGGTAACATCTCTTGTGTGGGTGGCAGTCTCGCTTTCAACCTGATGTGGGTTAGTTAAAAGTGTCAATGAAGGGGCAGTCCATACTGACCATTGTTTGAGTTACGGTCACGGTTTGTTGCTGGAAGGCCATCAGTACGTTGTTCGTGTAATAAATGTTAGACGTACATGTCCAGTTACGGTGACGGTATGGTCAACAGTCTGGTGTACCACGACAGTACTGCAAACTTTTCTCCTAAAAAAAGTTTAGAACCCTGCAGATCCCTTATTCTCGCCTACTCACCGGTTGATGAGGACAGTCTCGTAGCAGCCATCCATTTGATACTACATCCACATTAGAGATACCGAGACCCCGTTCAACAACA